TACTCTATTTCATATTCATCGCACAAATAGCTCCAGTAGCCTTTGCCAAATTCCGCTATTCCTTAAGGGATATACATCTATTCTAGTTATAGATTTGTCAACACGCAAATCAATTTTAGTTCCATACGTAACTGGAGACTCCGTCTCTCGCTCTCTCTCTCTCTCTATATATGGTTGGGTTATTGTATCATTTATCATTCAGTGTTACCTGGCCATTATTTATGTTACGTTGTCAACACACGATAGAGGCGCAGAGGAAGAAGAAGAAGAAGAAGACGCCAAGGGCGAGGTGTTTGGCTGATGGGTGAAAATTAATAATGTAACCGTTGGGCTCAGCTCACATCGGCACATAAGTAATAGTTATTTAATGAGTTTTTCGGTTGGAATTCTAGCCAAAAAGTTGTTTGGCGCCAGGACATTTAATTAAAATTTGCGCCTAATTAAACGTCAAAACGAGGCCCGTGCCGCAAGGCAAGGCGAGGCGAGGCGAGGCCAGCAGCTAACAGGACATTGGTAGGCGCTCGGGGCGTATGAGTGATTTGCATTTATACACATCAATAGGCGTTTTAACTGTGTGTGGGTGTGTGTACGTGCTTCTCTCTCTGCCTGTGTGTGTGTGTGTGTGTTGGTAAATTATCAGCGCCTATTTAGTAGCTCGCATTGCAGCAGTCTGTTTGCCGTTTGTTTATGTTTCCCTCTCTCTCTCACTCTCTCTCTCGTTCTCTCTCGCTGTTTGCCTTTAATTGAAAACGAAAATTGATTTCGAGTTGTGAAAATATTCTGCACAATTGCGTGCCGTTTGCTGATAAACGTTATGTGCACATTTCCATCTATTTACACATGTAAACGTGGCTCAGACGCTGTTTGCGTTTTGCGTTTTATATTTTGCATTTTATTAAATGCGCCCTAGGGTATGCAATATATTTATGCATATTTGTTCCTTCATTCTCTCACGTTTAATTGTTGGTCGAGCTTCTTCTAATTGCAACACAGTCGAGGTCGCGGCGCTGCGTTTGGGCTAGCTCTGCCAATTAGTGCGCAATTTATGCAGCTGAAGATGTGCTTTAATTGCCGTCGCAACGCGGGCGCATGATGGGCGTGGCCAGAGTGCCACGGAGTGGAGGATGAAGTGAAGTGCATATGATTCAAATTGAGCTAAGCTAGATGCAAGTAATCGATAGTAGGACTCTATATACACTATATGGTTAGAGTAAATAAGAGAAATTCAAGTTCTATGGAATGGGAGAAGTAGTTGACTGCCAAATACTCTGTAGCAGAGCTGGACTTGTATGGGTTCATTGTTTTTTTAGCAGAAAAACTCATTCGGATTTGAATTATATAAACCTATAGAAGAGAAAGTCATAAAAAACTTTTCTGTCGCAGATAATAAAAAGCAAATACGCATTATGTGCATGATAATATATCGATAATGTATTCTCTGCGGATAAAAATAGAAAAGGAATTTAAATTCATGGCAACTTTATTACCAGCAAAAATTCAGTGCCAAGCACATAAAAATATAAGTTCTATTAAAATAATAATAAATTAAATTCAACTTGAATTTAATGCTGAGTATTAAGTTTTATTGACAGGAATTTTTTCGCCTTGCGTATGGTTTTTTGAGTCAGCAAATTGAAATTATGCGTCTTATGCTTTTCATAGTAAAAAACTATGAATTTAACTATAGCTAGAAGGACAGCTCAATAATGTTGATTTGTTATGAAAGCGGCGTTTAATACAATCATAATTTTGGGATTTATCTAAATTGATAATTATTTATTATTAACCACTTATTATTTTTGATATTATAATTATTGATTGTTATTATTATTTAATTAAATTTTTTATTATTAATTTTATATATTATTTTTATTTTTTAATATGATATATATAATGTATTTCATGAAATGTGAGTGGGTGTACCATGTACAAAGATTTTTTTTATTATATGATATTTTCATTTTATATTTTCATAATTAAATTCTATCTATTTTTTTTATTTTTATATTATTTATTATAATTTATTTTGTATTATTATCTTAACTTTTTCTTAAGACATTTTATATATTTATATAATTTTAATAATTATTTCTATATTAAAACTGCGATTATTCATTTAATATGGGAAACCATATTTAATATATATTTATATAATTATAATATAATTGTATTAAATCAGTGATTATTCATTTCATATTTTATTTAATATTTATATATTTTTTTTTTATTAAACCTAATTTATAAATATTTTATATGCAGTTATAAATACAATACATTTTATTATATTTTAAATTAATCATGGTTAAGAAAAGTTTGACCTATAAAAAAAACCTGTATAATGTACAGAGAGTAGAAACCATATTTGTTATATATATTATTTGAGCAATAAGTCTATTGCTACCTTTATCCCATATTTAGCTGTGCAGTTCAATAAAACTTGAGCTGCTAAACTTTATTTAGTTTGCTTTTATGACAGAATAAATAACTTTCTTTAACTGGCAGACAGTTTGATCCATGCATATTTCATATTCTAAACAAATAATCGAAAAAAAAAGAAAAAAATAAACGCTTGGCTATAAATGTGCTCGAAGGTCGATAATTGTTTGGGTGCTCAATTATAGCAATTGATAAAAAGTGGCTATAAAAGGAAAGGCGCAATAAGCAACGAAATAATGCAAAATCAATACAAAACGAGAGAGAGAGAGAGAGAGAGAGAGAGAGAGAGAGAGAGTAAGGCGAATTAGAAAATATATAAATAAGGTGAATTGCAGAAAGTCGAATTTGACATCGTATAATAAACAAAGTAATAATCGTTTAGTTGCGTGGCAGGACTCGTAAGGCCGCCTTAGGACTCGCTGGATAATACAATAATAAGCCCGCAATTAGTGTCACTGATAGATGCGATGCGATGCGATAAAGCCGCCAAACAGCTGCGACCCAAAGCATTTGCATTGTCCAAATATTTGAGGCACACAAAGGATGTGCTGGTAGGCAGAAGGATAAACGGCTCGACTCGACTCGACTCGATTTGATTCGGGCTACATTAAGTGCAAGTTCTTTTCTAAATGCCAGCCAGCTCCCTCTCCCCTCTCCCTCTCTCTCCCACTCACTTGGTATGCCCTTTTTTTGCGCCGCTTTTGTCTGATTGAAAAAGTTGTTTGGGAGCGAAGGGCAAATCGCAATTTCAATTTTAATATTTCCATTCGCCTATGCGCTTTACAGCTCTGAATGGGAAACTACTGCGAATCGTTTCATTTTTTTCTTTTCCATATAGATGAGTATGAGCGTGTGTGTGTGTGTGTGTGTGTATTTCCACTTTTGTTCATTTGCCACATTCCCATTTCGCATTCAGAGTTACAGTTTCAATGGCATCGCCAAGGCTGAGTGCCTGAGCTGCCGAGAACTTTCCTAATACACGATGCTTAAAGGACGAACACAAATGATGTTGTAAGGCGAGTCACACAGCCTCCGCACTCCCCCTTCTCCCCCTTCCACTTTGCCGTGCGAGTCCTTGTCCAGAGCAACTAAAGTCTTAAGTGAATTAAGAGCCAAACTTGTAACATTTTCTTTACCTCGTTATTTTTTGCCCTCTCGTCCTCTGGCTGCCGGATCTCAAGGCTTTGCCACTTAATGAGCGACCCTTTCGCGTGTGAAGTGCTCGAGCTACGTAAATAAAAACGGATTAGTTTTGCGGCAACTGTTTCCCGTAAATATCTATTAATGCTTTGCCTTTTTTCTCTGCCTCTGCCCTCCCCCTCTCGCTTTTTGCTTGCCTCTCGTGTGCTCACCTGTATCAGTTTTTGTTTCGGTTTCCGCTTCCCCATTCCTCTTCCGCGCTGCCTTCAAAGTTCAGGCTCATTTAATAAAACAAGATTGATTGTTATGGCCCGGCCGAGTGCACAATCTAGCCGCAGGCTAACATCCTGCAGGCTTCGCTTGCCACCAGGCCGGCCAACAACTCATTTTCGGCCAGTGTAGAGCTCTGTGTGTGTGTGTGTATACACATGATGAAGCATCTCTTATATTGAACATGAATTTGCTGTGTGTGAGTGTGTGTGTGTGTATAGAAATTAAATATAACATCATTTGCCCTACAAATA